ATGTTTTTCTCTCGGGACACCTGAAAGAGCACTGTTGTGCAGTCCTTCCCAAGCCTATCGAAGATCTCGTGGCAAGACTTCAAGCAGCTGTGCCAACGGTCGATGCCAACTGTTACGGCATGTTCAAGAGAATGCCGTGAGGCACACTACCGTCTCTCTTGAAACTGAAGGAGGCCGCTTCGAACACCGGTTGTGACTACAAGGTGCTCATAGTTTGGTGATTTCATAGCTTGCGCCATTTGACAGTGACTTGTATGTCATAGAACGAGTTGTACAGTACTTTCGACTCTCTTTAACAAGACATCACAGTGTGGAGAGATTCTGTGCTAATTTTGTTTCACTATATATAGTTGATCTATAAATGACTCCATCGAAGAGACTCCACCTTAAGAAACTGCTAGTGGCTCAGCTATGCAAAATTTGTTAATAACTGCCGCCTGAAATGTAAGTTAATATAGGCTCAATAATACAAAACTTCAGTTATATGCTTAAAATTAATAGCCTGTTATTACCAGAATTCGTATTGCATATTTTCTTGTTATCTCCTTCGACATAGCCTGGTTTCAGGTATTTAAGTTGCTCTAATGATATAACAAGCCGATCACAGTGGCCGCGGGGTCTAGGGCATGAACTGTCTTCGGCTGCTCGAACACTGGGGTCAAGGCATGGATGTCTGTCTCTGTTTTCCTGTGTAGGTAGTGGGCTTGAGAAGGGCTGATACACTGTTCAGGAAGACCTACAGACTGTCCTAGGATTAAGAAACTGAAGTGAAACAAAGCGTTTCACGGAGGCCCTATGTTCCAATTTGGAAGTAAAATGAAAAAAGAAGACAGACAGGGAGAGTGAATCGGACAGGGGTTGTCCAGTGATTGAGGTTAGCTCTTTCTACGGGACCTAAAATTGTAGATGTGTCCCCCTTCGCCTGAGGACGGAAACAGATCCATTTTCCGAAATGTTCTTTCTTGTTTTTAGAATACTGGATGATGGGCAAAGTCCGAAAACCCAGTAATTCTGAGTGTTATAAGAGTTTGTAATTGTTAAATCCTATCTAAATTATGAACTACTAACTTGTTAAAACTAACTACTTAGAGAAAAATAAGATGTAAATGTCGAACGCACAATTTCAGAAAATTTTGTCACTTAAATATTATTATTTTATTTTATATTATTCATTCATATAACGTTATATATAGAAATATAAGGAGGGATGTGGTTGTTCTAGTGGTCTAAAGGGCATAACGTTCAGGAACTGTGTGTATTCTCTACGAATAATCAACAAGAAAACCGAGGAATATTATAAATTTTCTCAACAGTTCTTAATATTTTAAACTTTTAGCTTTCTCGGTAAATACTACAAAGAAAAATCGATTTCAGTTCATGATTTCGAGTACTTGGAACTGCTAGAAGAAATAACTAGGAGCGGGGGGGGATTCCGATGTAGTGTAGCGTAAGTAACTGCAGCTGGCAATAAACCCGGATCTCCCAAGAGGCTTTGAACAATACACACAATCATTGACAAAGAACAGGGATATTAGTACTGGTTACTTAAACGGAAGCTGATTAATAAGAGGGACAGTATAATACACTCACTCTCTTCCTGCCTCTTTCATAATGTCAGTGTGTCCACCCTGTGAGATTCACTCCTCCCATCCTAGAAGCAAGGAATAATAAAGACATCACTCGAGGCAGCAGCTGTTGAAACGCGAGTTATTCCAGCTACAGGCAATTCGAACCGCTTGGCTAGACTACAGGTACTGAGTTCTGTGGCTGTGGCTGTACTACCTTATACCTTACAAAAACTTGGACTTGATTCAAAGTTGTTCTGTGTTTTTGGGCGGTGACTTATGTAACCACAGGGCGGACTCCCATTCCTTCGCTGTAGAGGAGGAAAAATTATGAAGCAGAGGTATTGATAATGTGTTTCTAAATAAATCAGCCGTCTCATAAGTAAGGACACGTTCCAAAACGAAATAATAAGGATAATAATGCTTGTACTGTCCGATACAGAACCTTAATATATTTCCTCAACACACATCATGGTGGCCTGTGAGTGTCATCATAGCTATCTTTGTAACAGTATAGTTCTGTCGAGATATGCTCATTAACCAGCACCTAATTCATTGGAGGACTGTTCTTGAGAAGCTGATAGTCGCTTAACTGCTAAATAATCTTCACCTTTCGCAGGAACCTATAGATCATCAGAGTGTTTAGAATAGCCAGTTACTGGACCCTATCCTGAGCCAGGTGACTACAGTTTATATGCTCTTTCTTTAAGGTAAAGTTGGCCCTGTACTTGAACAATTAAGCACTACGCCATAAAGGCGTATGGGGGAGTGGATATATAGATTCATATTTTCTTGACCTCGGTACTAGCTGGAGGTGAGTGATCAGCTTCACGCCCCGACCGCTTTACCCCCGGAGAAAGAGCCCCCAGTACCCATTTCATAGGAGGCTGGATGGGCCCCTAAAGCCGGTCTGGAATACGTGGAGAAAAGAAAATTCTTGATCCTACCGGGACTTGAACTCAGACTCCTCTTTCGACCAGCCCGTAGCCAATCGCTATACCGACTACGCTATCCCGGCTCCCTTCCGATTTCTATATGTCCATTTAATATTATTGTACTGTCTACATCTGAATCTTTCCATTGGGTTTTCAGAAATTGGCGCTTAAGCTTTTATAGCTCATCTTCCGACATCCCCTGAAAGAATACATTGCACCACGGCAAAGCGTGGGGATGTAGAAATACTTAAACTTCCTGTTTCACTTCAAGAATTATTACCATAGCTCCTTTCTTTCTCACGGTTGTTGGGAATTTCGTGGTCTTTGTTTTCGCAGTAAGAAAACCTGCGAGTAATTCTGCGAATTTGGTGGATCCGTTCAAATTTAGGTGTCTGATGTTCTCTTTTCGTAGAGTGAACAAGATTTCAGTTGCGATAACCGTTCTGTTGCGTGTAGAATTGTGCCTGTATGCTAGTCTAACCAATATATGAGCAAATCATTTCCTTGAACGAAAAGTAAAATCTGATAACACACAAAAACCACATATCATCCGTTAGTACGCGGTAGCATAGTTTGTTGAGGCACTATGCTACAAGCCTGAAGGTCGAGGTTTCGAGTCCCGATGAATTGGAATTTTCAATTTACCTTATCCTTCCCGCCGCACTATGGCCCTGGGTTCGACTTAGCCTCTAATGGAAATGAGTATCAGGAATCTTCTTGGGGGTTAAGGCCGGCCGACGCGTGAGGCTGAGAACCTTACCGCAATCTGTGAGACGATTTTCTAGAGGAAATTTGGGAACCTCGACGTCTCACAATCGTATGGGCCTCCACAGCCTGTTACGGGGATTGCTTTACGTTTTACATAAGAATATGCCTGTCGGAACATTTAAAACAACGAATCTCCAGGGTTCAATTAGGTTTAGGCGGGGACTTAAGGTTTCTCTTCGTCTTATGAAGATATAGGCCCATTCATTGCAAAAGTCCACGGGTTATCAGGCAGAGAATTCCTTACGGGGTACTGAAGTTCACATAATATTCTGTCCTGCAAAGTTTTCATTTTATCAAGATATTGTTTGCCAATACCCAAACGATCACCGATCCCTGGTTAATCGACGACGGCCGGTGCGCGCGTGCATTGGAGACGCTCATAAGCTCAGTTACGTCGGCCAGCCATTGTAGTGCTCTGTCAGCGCAACCTTACCCGTATTCACTGTTCTTCGTCGCAATTTGCAACCTTTGGGAGCACGCGGTAGCGTAGTTGGTTGAGGAACTGTGCTACAAGTCGGAAGGTCTCGGGTTCGAATACCGATGAAATTGAATTTTTTAATTACCTAATCCTTCCAGCCGCACTATGGCCCTGGGTTCGACTCAGCCTCTAACAGAAATGAGTACCAGGAATCTTCCCGCGGAGTAAAGGGCGGCCGGCGCGTAAGGCTGACAACCTTACCGCCATTTATGTGCCAATTGTATAAAAATGTGGGAGCCTCGAAGTCTCACAACTCTATGAATCTCCACAGCCTCTTACAATGATACATTTTTACCAGTATAATGAATGGCAGAAACATTGGGGTTCTGTGTTGACACCTCTTACTGCATCCATCAGCAGGCCGTCATGAGGAAGTGACGTATATTGATCTCACTGAAATTAGAATAATTTGCTCTTTCCTATTTTTTTTCCTTGGCACTACAGCCCCAGTGGGCCTAGGCCTACCTCCATGAACTTCTCCGTTCACTTCGGTCTTTCCTATTTGTACACCCCTTAATTCTTAGAGTTTCTTTATATAAAATTAAAGTAATGGGCCCTACAATGAAAATCAGAGTAAGTGTTAAAACTGGTTTTTTTAACCGACGATATATCATCCAAATCCAGGATTGTCNGGGGGGGCCTGGCTGGAGTTATCCCGCCTCGGCCACGCTACCACTGTTATGACCTTAGGTCCTTACGACAGGGGTGGATTGGCAATCCCCACTGTCACCTTCTCTCTAGCAGTCACAGGGGTAGGACTAAGGAAACGTCTGAATAGCTTTCTTNGAAACATCTGGAAAGCTTCGAAATGTGGTGTTGGAGAAGGATGGAGAAGATCAGTTGGACCGATTATGTGAGAAATGAAGAAGTGTTAATTAGAGTCAGTGAGCAGAGGAATATCCTACACGAAATAAGAAAACGGAAGGCTAATTGGATTGGTCATGTTTTGCGCAGAAACTGCCTTCTAAAAGAAGTTATTGAAGGAAAGATAGAGGGGCGGATAGAAGTGACAAGAAGACGAGGAAGAAGACGTAAGAAGATGCTGGATGAACTTGGGGACAGAAGAGGATATTTTCATTTGAAGGAGAAAGCTCTAGATCGCTTTAAGTGGAGGAATTGTTTTGGAAGAGAGTGTGGACCTGTCGTCTGACAGATTACTGATGATGATGATATCATGAGATCAGTTAACGTCGATTTATAGGTGATGACTCTACTGTTGGGAAACCTCCGTCTTTGCCGAGGTAGTGAACTCACCGCCCGGCCTGCCTCGTTGTTGTGGACGTTCATCTTCTCTCGCAGGTTGCGTCCGCGCTCGCCCGTGTCCACGAACTCCCGGGAGAACTTGAAGCCGTAACCTATGTTGTCGGAGCAGCCTCCCCACTCCCAGTCCCGCAGACCGGGCACGGCGCTGGAGACAAGGGGTGACCGCGCCTGGTGGCTGTAATCACACGTGCAGGATTCGATGCTGCCCTCGCTACAGGCTCGGGCTATCGCGTGCGTCACCCCCGCACTCGTGATGGCGTAGATGAAGGCCGTCTCTCGGCAACCTGCAACAGTCAGGGGACATCCAGCTTTCGGAAGAGTTCTTATCGGTTTAACAGGTTTCGTAACAACTACGTGCACTTTATATTATCAAGCAAGTCCTTTCATTCGGATTTCTCTCTTTTCTGCCTCAGACATCCGCTTTATTCAATTTTACTCAATAAGGACCTAGAGCATCGAGAAAAAATGATAATTTGATGGGATGATAGCATAGATAATTAGTTTATGCTTACAGATTTTATGTTATTGAAATTAGTGTCACGTGTTAGTGACTAGACACATGGTTTGGATTCGTATTTGGATTTATTGAACACTTATAATTCGTAGCAACAAGTAATTACACCGCTCTTGACTTCTGACTGCAGCACTCGTCTTCTAAGTTTGTTTTCACTATCCGCTGCTAGGCTACGGCTCTCTCGTTTATCTACACACTTAACAGTTCACTACAACATCCTAAGTCTATTGGCTATACCTTCGTGTACCCGTTGCTTAGCAGCGGCTTTCGACAACGCGGATTTATTTTACTGCTTCCGTCCTCAACGAATCCTGTCCTCGCTTCCTGGTGACTCGCTCACATCTCTCTCAGAGTCAGGGTCAGAGTCACAGCCAAAGTTACTTTACGACAGGGTTACCACCAATCCGTTCTTCTTGGCGACATGTTATGTGCTGATAACACACTTCGAGATATTTTAGATTGGCAGCACTGATGGATATATATCTATGGGCCTGTACTATTTCACATTTAGGTATAGACGATTTTGAAATATCAGTGATCTCTAGGACTATGTCAATCAGACGAGAAATAAGAACTCGCCCTTTTATTTAGCATGCAAAGAACAGACAGGGGAGTATGTACAGGCTGTTGTATTGCACCTCAAGATTTAATGATGGGGTTGGAATTCTATTTCCATGGTTTCGCCTATTTCTTTGTAAGATGCATGGACACGTGAAAGGATTCGTATAACTTAACAATGCTCGGTTTTACTTTACGTCGTTGCAGAGGAAACCACCTGTGGATAAAATTACTGCTTAAATTCTGTAGAAGAGTTTGCGATGGGTGTTTCCCAACGTCTAATGCGACTTCCGGTACAATCTTCTTCCAGAACGCAGTTTCTTGTGTACCTTGGGAGCTTACAGTAAAATATATGAAGCTTAGCAATACGTGTCTTCGGAATATATTACGCTGTGTTATACACTTCTGAAATATATTATCCATAAAAGGAGGACAAATTATTCGTGCTTCGTTTAAGAGAATTAACTTACCTTGCTTTTAATATACGTGACTGGGGAGCGACGTTTAGCGTAGAGTTTACGACAAAGAGAGCAAAAGGAAGACACATTACTTCATATTCTGTTAGATGTTAGTTGCACGAAGATATTATTTAAATGACGTGTTCTCAACTCCTGCATTTTAGCGTAACCTGATTGGACTGAATACATGTGTGTGTTTCTGTCTCGCCTGTTAGTTATAAAGCATGAGAATTAACATCATTGCTGCAGGAGGCCAACTCACTTTCGTACATTTAAATATCTAACGTGAATATTACTAAAAAGACGGTCCTGCCATCTTCTGATTAGGGCGTCTACGGTGTCAGTTAATGTTACAAAAGGTAAACTTCTCATCCTTGCCTAATTAACTAAGCACCATGTCTTGAGGAGAAATGGAGGAGTGGAGATATAGCTCCACCATTTTTGTCCTGGGAACTAGATAGAAATGAGTGGTACACTTCGTGTCCCGGTCTTTGATGTTGTTGAAAGTCGAGGAAGGCGCAATAAGCGCGTCTCTGACTGAAGTAAGGTCACACAACAATGAATCAAATCCAGGAAAGTGTGTTTTCTGGGGGTCTGTCACAATTTCCACGTCATAATGTAATAGAGCAGCTGCAATAAAATGTGTTTTCTGTTTGGTCCGTCCAGAAGCTATATTACGAGGACCAGCGGAACAAGCCAGGCAGTTTATAGACAATATAAGATCTAGAGTCTTGAGAGTGAGAAATCTTAGATAAGTACAGAGTCTTTAGTCTACATTTACCAGTTGGGGGAGGGGCATGAAGCTGACCACTCACCTCCAGCTAGTGCCGAGATCAAGAGAATGTGGATCTATACATCCACGTCCCCATACTCCTTCATGGAGTAGTGCTTAATTAATTAAGCCCAGGGAGAAATTCAACTTTACCTATATAACGTATAATATTATACTTGGTAACAAATTTCTTGGTATTATCTACATTTTAGTCCAATTGTATTGGTATTAGTTATAAATAAATTGCTGTGCAGCAAGTTTGAAGGCTAAATTAAGGTCGAAAATAAGATAAAAATATATCTATTAGTTATTTCGTAGGTACACTAGTCGCTCTCATCTGGCTCCTCCTTAGGTGGGTATGATGTTATGGACTCTTGTATGTTCACATGTGTTATCTCCCGTTTAATCGGATTGCAATTTGGGTGTAATGGGGCTATCGTCCAGACGTTTTTATCATATGGCATATCGAGAATTCCCGTGTTTTCTTGTAGGTGGTCGTTTGGTCCTTATCGTGGCTGTTATATGTATGATATTTCGTGATCTCAACAGTTGATGCACTTCGTCAATTAATTAATAAAAGTACAAAGCTTTTCTGCATTTTCTTTTCCCACGTCCGTTATGTCGTCAGTTCTTACCATCATACTGGAAAATATCAAACGTGCTAAATTACCTCAGTGAAACTCTCATGAATATGGAGACTACCACAAACAAACACAGTGTTTGTAATTCATGTGCTGAGTAACTTATCTAGAAACCAAATCCTTACATTAGACCAAGCCGACTAATTTTATTGATGGTGACACCAATTGCTAATGAAAGTGCTAATATCTTCCACTGTCACGTGACTCTAGAAACCGGCTTCATCTCATGGCTGGTGTTGTGAGGGCTATAGAGGACCAGTTTGTATGGCATCCTCGTCTAGAATAGTGGGAGCCTCTCCGGGGGTCAATATGATGACGTAATTATCCAGTAAGAAAGCAGGCAGGGGGCCGACAGACATAACACAATTGCCCATAACCCAACAGACTGAGTCCTAGAAATTATTATAGCGTAGTCGTGAAGGCCAAGTTTTGCATTGTTATAAGTTATAAGTTTAGAGTTAGAAAGATTTCTCTCTATGGCTCTGCAGCCCTTTGGAACTCTGCAGCTTTCACAGTTTCTTAATCTACAGACAGTCGATAGGGCACCTTGGACGGGGGATCAGCCCGTCGCAAAGCCGTCATCTACAAACAGAATAAACGCATACAGACATCCAAGCCTCGAGTGAGATTCGAACCCACGATCCCAGTATTCATGCCTTAAGGCGCGTCCACATTACTCGTGCTCGTCGGGAGACTCGTCTGGCTTTTACTTGTGCTCGTAAATCTTCGTCCACACTACTTCAGTTGCTCGCCAGGCTTCGGCGCGCGAGGATCCGTATATTTACTAGTAGTGTGTATAGGCTGTAGTCGTATTTTAATTTATTGGCTATAGTTTTTAAATTAAAAATTAAAAATTTGCTTGTCTCGTGACTTGTCATATCGTCCACATTACTCGCGAGCATAGCGAGTCACACGAGCACGAGCACGAGTAATGTGGACGCGCCTCTAGACTGCGCGGCCACTGTGATCGCATCAGAAAGTTCTAACATACTTTATGTATATCTAATTTACGGTTTCTTTCGCTTTAGGCGATCCAAAGTTCCAATTTCTTGCAAAACAAAGAAAATGACGTGTTCACGGCACTAAGAACAGTCGGTAGAATTATGATATGAAGGAGGAGAACTCTTTTATTTTCAAGATAGCAACATATTCGTTTTGAAAAAGTTGTTCAGACAATATTGCTTCTCGCGTATTTATACATTTAGATCTGTGTTCTTCGAAAAACAATGATAAAAGGAGAATAGTAAGAATAGAGACAGGATTGTACAGTGACACATCTACACACAAATGAAGAGGTTGTAAGAAGTGAAAATGAATCAAAGTGCATGGTAAATCAGAGAAGATAATTAAATAGGGCACTAGACAGGGAAAGGAAAGTAAAGTAAGACCAATGGAAAATAAAATTGTCTCTATGCTTAACTAATTAAACAATACCTTATTAAGGCGTTTGGGGGGAGTGGATGTATAGATCCACGTTTTCTTGACCTCGGGACTAGTTGGAGGTGAGTGGACAGCTTCACATCCCGGCTACTTTACCCCCGAGAAAAGAGCTCTTGTTTTCCATTTGATAGGAGACTGGGTGGACCCTAAAGCCGGTCTGGAAGACGTGTAGAAGAGAACATTCTTGATCCTAGAGGACTCGAACTCCAACACCTCGGTCGCAAAGCCCGTAGCCAGTTGCTATCCCGGCTCTGCTAGACAGGGTTTACCCTTTTTAACGCAAGGCTTGCTCTTCCATACCGATTAGAAAAGGAGGATTGAAAACTGTAAAAATGCGTTTATTGAGACGACAAGTAGGAGTTGATCCTAAAGTTGACAAAGGAATTAAAACGCCTGATAAGAATTTCAAACAGTAACAGCTATGACAGGTAGGACCTTTAGATAGCAGAGAGGAACGGTTTTGAACTTGTTCAAGAAATGTAAGAAGCTCGTACCCCAAATAGGGTTTCGAATTACAGTTTACAAGGAAGACGAATGTAAGATTTGAGACGAATATTGGTAGATCTAGAGAACAATGCATTTGGCAAAAGAGCATTTTAATTGGACAGGAGAAACTTCACTTGGCTGTCAAGCTTTTGAATTTCACAATCAAACGAAGTAATCATTAGTTATAAATATTATATTTAAAAATTAAATAATATATAACCATTATTATGGGGGCACGCGTTAGCATAGTTGGTTGAGGCACTATGCTACAAGCCGGAAGGTCGAGGGTTCAAGTTTCGATGAGGTCAATGGATTTTTTTAATTGACCTATTTCTTCCAGCCGCACTATAGCCCTAGGGGTTCCACTCAGCCTCTAACAGAAATGAGTACCAGGATTTAATTAAATAATTTTCCT